TTAGAAAACAAAACCATTAGATTGAGCTTAAGATGCCTTCAATCCACTCCTATAAATGGTCTTGAAAAGAAGGAAGAGTCAGGCCTCCTAGAATTAGCAGAAAATTGTTAAGTGATCGAATTGTCTTACGGACATTGGCCTGTGATCCAGATATATCAAAGGATATTGGCAGATTAGCTGTTAAGGATCTAACTTACGCTTTTTGGAGGAAGCAACCTTCTCCACCACTGATAGAAAATTTGACCATGTACAGTAAACATCAGGATGTGATACAGCGTTCAGAAAGATTACCGATCTTTGAAAACGATGCTCTGCGATCCCCACTGTCCAGATTTTCATCAGGTAGCACCGAGTACAGTCGAAGACAATAGAACCGGACACTCATTTTTGTAGTTTATTCAAACTACATGTATTATTGTCGTACAACATAGGTATTTTAATATGAACCAAATTAACCGAGATCAAAAATTCATTAATTTTTATTTTAAAAAATTTAATTTTAATGATTTTGCTAGAAAATTGATCAAAACACCGGAATATCATTTTTTGATATAATGAATTTAACTAACAATTTATTACACGGTTTTGCTCATAAAATTTAACTACAATTTTTTATTACATTGTCTTGTTCATAAAATTTAACTAACAATTTATTACACGGTTTTGCTCATAAAATTATACCATTTTCGTCGAGTAGAGTCAAAACAGGACACTCATATTTTTTGTAGTTTATTTCAAACTGGCAGAAAATTGATCAAAACGCAGGAATAACTTTATTTAAAACAATTAGTTTAACAAACAATTTATTACACAGTTTTGCTCATAAAATTTAACTAACAATTTATTTCATGGATTTTCTCATAACATTAACTAACAATTTATTTCATGGATTTGCTCATAACATTTAACTACAATTTATTACATGGTTTTGTTCATAAAATTTAACTAACAATTTGTTTCATGGTTTTGTTCATAAATTTACACCATTTTCGTCGAGTAGCATCAGAACCGGATAATCATATTTTTTGTAGTTTATTTTGAACTATGTATATGTAATTTTGTCGTTATGTTAATTACAACATTCTTATTTTAATATAAACCAAATTAACAACATCAAATATTCATGAGCTTGTATAAAAATTATTTAATTGTGATGGTTAGGCAGAAAATTGATCAAAACATCGGAATAACTTCATTTAAAACAATTCAGTTTAACAAACAATTTATTACACAGTTTTGCTCATAAAATTTAACTAACAATTTATATCATGGATTTGCTCATAACATTTAACTACAATTTATTACATGGTTTTGTTCATAAAATTTAACTAACAATTTGTTTCATGGTTTTGTTCATAAATTTACACCATTTTCGTCGAGTAGCATCAGCATTGCGATTGTGATACTGATTTGTGAAACACGCTGTGTGACTGTAAGTGGCGTGCGCCTGACGTCGCACAGATGTGAACACCCTACCAAAACGAGACAAGGCGTCGTGTAGCGCCGCATAGCGTTGCATCGGGTAAGTGTGTTCCCGGCTTAAATAAGAATCTGAACCCATATTCGGTAAATGAAGAATTCACAGCTGAGGTAAATGATTGATTCGCTAATTTACACTGATGATTTGAAAACAGGAAATAACAAAATATGTGCTGTTTTCGATCCACTCACGAAATACAAAAAACAAATATGCTTTTCAGAAGTGGCATCCATTTTTACCTGTGAGAATTATACAATTAAGGAAGCAATTCAATATTCAATTGAGCGAATTCAACCGGGTTCAAGAGTAATCATTGTTACTGATTCAAAAAGCGTGTTTGATGCTATAAATTAATATATAATATTATATACATATATAATATATAATAATAAATCATCCAAAATCGAATTTTAATATCTCGTGCGTACGAAAATAAGATTACTATTGATTTATTCTGGGTTCCTCCAAACTGCGGAATTCACGGTAACGAAAAAGTAGATGTTTTGGCAAAGAAAGCAGGTATGCAAAAGCTTCCCATTGTCAGAATGGACATATTAAAGATTTATATTGATTATCGAAGAAGCAATGTTTGGATTCTTGGCAGCAAGATGATAATAACCGCAACAAAGGACCATTTTACAAGAACTTATTTCCTAAGGTGTCGTTGGTTTTCAGTTCAATGCGCAAATAAAAAGACAAATAAAATCATTTCCAGACTTCGATCAAATCATGGCATATGTAAAAAAATACTTTAAAAAGATAAATCTGTCCTTGGACGAGTTATGTGCACGTGGAGCAGTGGAAACACTGGAACATGTCATATTGGAATGTAAAAAATATGATCGAGTTCGAGAAGAAATGTTAAATGAGGTTGTGAGCCACCTTCCAAAAAATACAAGGAATAATAAAAGCAAGCTACAAGGAAATAATAAAATCGGAGTCAACGTGCATCGATTCCGCTATTGTCGGCTTCTGTGATATAGCTGGAGTGAGAATTTAAATAATAATATAATAAAACAAATAGAAATAATAAAATAAAAGACGGAGGCTCTGGCATATGAACTGATGCTAAAAAAAAGCCTTTATTTCCACTCACAACAAAGCCTTGCAAGGCGTTTTTTGTTTCATCGCGTTCTCTAAAAATGCTATCCTTCAAGAAGTGATCAAAATGCTTAAAAACGTCCAAGTCTGTATGCGAGAGGTCGGGTGAATATGGAGGGTGCGATCATATCCAGTGGTTAAGTTTCCGCCGGGTTGGCATTGTGGCACGTGGCCTGACGTTATCGCGAAGAAGAATCGGCCCCATAAGCTTTACCAATGCTAGACAAAGACGGTGCAGATTCTAGTGCATTTTTCCAATTTCTTGGTAATATTTCTCTTCTGAATGGAAAAAAAGCCATAATTTTAACCATAAGGACGGGAACACACTTACCCGATGCAACGCTATGCAACGCCACCCTACTCCATGCTCTGCGATCCCCACGTCCAGATTTTCGTCGGGTAGCACAGAGTACAGTCGAAGACAAAAGAACCGGACACTCATATTTTTATTCAAACTACATGTATTATTGATGTTATATTAATTACAACAAATTGATTTTAATATAAACCAAATTAACCGAGAGCAAAAATTTATTAGTTTTTATTTTTAAACAAATTAATTTTAATGGTTTGGTAGAAAATTGATCAAAACAACGGAATACCATTTTTTGATATAATGAATTTAACTAACAATTTATTACACGGTTTTGCTCATAAAAATTAAGTAACAATTATTACATGGTTGTGCTCATAAAATTTAACTAACAATTTATTTCATGGTTTTGCTCGTATAACGGATTAAGAACAAAAGAGGCGTTGCGATTGCGATACTGATTATTGTGATACACGGTTTACCAATTCTTGACAAAGGCGGTGCAGTTTCTAGTGCATTTTGCCAATTTCTTGCTAATATTTCTCTGCTGAATGGAAAAAAGCTATAATTTTAATCATAATTCAGGAGATTATAGTGAACAAGCCCAGCAGTACACCAAACAGTCACCATAACCTTTTTTGGGTGCAGATTTGGTTTCGGGAAGTGTTTTGGCGCTTCATCCTGGTCCACCCTCGCCTCCTGTTATCGTGCAGAATCCATTTCTCATCGCACTTGATGATTCGATCGAGAAATGGATCATTTTGGTGGGGCAACAGAAGAGACGTACAAATTTCAAAGCGTAGATTTCTTTGGGCTTCGTGCGGCACCCACTTGACGAGCTTCTGTAGAATTTGCTCCAGATGGCGAACAAAGGTTCAGTGCCAAAACTAATCTCTTTTCCCGTGTTGTCTTACGTGAATTTTTTTTAAATTGATGTTTTGAGTTGGTCGTCGTCCACGACGTAAGTCCTACCACGACCTCCACTGTCTTGAGATCGAAATCTCCAACACGAAATGTCCGAAACCATCGCTACACCATGCATTCGCTACTTCTTCCCTCCACATAACTGTATTGATGTTAAGCGTGGTTTGGGCCGAACTTCGCCCAAGTTTTTTTAATTTTTTTTTTTTCAAATTGCCGGTGTTTTTGAAAAAAAAGCCCATTTGTAAGTATATCGGGTTCGAATGCAGGGCCGCTGGCCACCGACGTCCCATCGCCCAAGTTTTAATTCGTACAAATAAATGTGACGAAAATCTAGTTTGGTCATATTTAATTTCGCAGGAATTCAATATAAACTAATTTTTTTTTAATTATAAAAGATATCAGTTAAAACTATCTAAAATTATCTGTTATAATCCATAAATTAGATTTAAGGATTTGGCTTTGTTTACATGAAAAGCACCTGCGAAAATAAAACAAATTTTCCAAAACTGCATTAATTTTGCACCAACCCATTATGGTTTTATTAAAATTGGCTATTTCATCCTTATATCGTTGGAATATTTATAAAATAAGGCTAGTTTGAAATCCTAGAAAATTTTGACGGAAAAGTTTTTGCACGAGCCATAATTATTAGCAAAAAAAAAAAAAACATGTGTTTTGGCATTTCTTATCCTCTGAGCAGCTACAGTGGAAGCTTGAATTTTTCAGCGAAAATGTTATCTTGTGGGCAAATAAATGTTTCAGAAATAAGGGTCAGATTTTTATTTCAGTGACGCTAAAGTTGAGAAATTACGATTTTATATTTAAAAAAATCTGATTTGAATCTAAAATCACAACACCCTGCATAAGACCCAGTGATGGTTCGAGAGACACTGGAGCTGACAAATGAAAGATATTGTTGGCCGTGGGTGACGGAGGGTATAATACACTTGTCGAGTCACAGAACTATCGGATTTAGGCGGCCATCGCTGGGAGCTTTGTCTTTGGTATAATTATTATAACTTGTTTATCATTATTATTATTATTATTTTATTTTATTTTATTTTTTATTTTTGGTTTGTAGAAATTAACTAAAATTTAGGACAGAATAGTATAAAAGGAAAAAAGGTTTGAATTCCAGGTACTAGGCGGCTTGGGATCTCGCAGCTATTCCCTTTCTCCATTTCCGATTGGCCATCGCCCCCCTACATTGTCCGCCATTTTCCAGAAAGACGGCAACTTGTCGTAGTCCGACCGTTTCCGATCCTCATTCAAAACCGGGATTTCACATTTTTCAAGTCTTTTCTTTAACCAATAAATTTAACATGGAAAACAGATACGTTATCAAGACAGACGACGAGCGAACGACTGTCATCACGACCAACAAGAGTAATTTGACAGTGGGGCAGTTCAGAAAGCTCGTGGCTTCCTCTCTCAACCTAAAGAAAGATATCGAGTTCAGGCTCTTTTACGTTGGGAAAGAGGTGAGTGGACCTTTGAACCTTAAAAAATAAACTATTCTTATTTATTTTAGTTATTCAATAATTAATGAATTGGTTAAAATTAATTTGTTAATTTTATGACTATTAAATTAATTTCCCCATTTCAAAAACAGCTAATAAACTTCATCAGCCAGGTGTGAATTCACCCCTCCTTGATAATAATCCCTTTATTCCCTTGCCTTAATTAATCAAAAGGTACTGCCCGCCGACCTTTACAAACCCTTTCACTTCGCTGCCCTTCTGATACTTTGTTGAACAGGAATTTCCGAAAGGTTGCTTAAATACATTTAACAGCCAAAGAAAAATAGAATCACTAAAAGATTTTTTTTCTTTGGGTCACTGATGACTATGAACTTCCCATCTTCTTCTGCGAGCTGAAAGTTCTATCGAGACCCCTATTTATTTCCACACCTTTCAGTAGTGCACTACCCTTAAGGCCTATTCAGACGAGGCAACTAATTGAATGGACGGGTGTCACAAAGTTTGGAAATTGCCCCAACCCTTTCACAAGCAGTCAACTCGTCCTCCCTGGCAGGTGGCCAGCAGGCACATGTGCCACTCACGTTCTCATCCCCACTGGTTGATTCAACTCAAAAGACACTGCTCGGCATTCGCCCTGCATACCAGTCACCTAGTTGAATCAACTGAGTTCACCATGGAAAGCGTTGCAATTGCACGTTTCAATGTGGAGCAGTTCATTGAAGATATTCGTAAGTCCCGTGATAGGGGACATGAGGTGTGAGGAGTATGGTGTAAAATTAAAAGAAGCGAAGCTTGGAGGGAAGTAGCGCAACATTTGAGAGAAAATGCCCGTTTCCCAATTTTATAACAACAGATAAAATACACACTTTTCTTTACTGGGTTTCCTCCTTTTTTGCTTCTCTTTTTACAGAAGAGCAAGCACACGAAGAGCTCCTTCTTCCTCGAGTTCTAACATGTACTGACCTCGCGTTGGGGAAAAGAGGTTGATTCCACAAGTTGCCTGGTGTGAAACTAAGTCTTCACATGGCAGTAAACTGTTGAGAGTCAACCGGGCAACTTAGTTGAATCAACCAAACCGCCTCGTCTGAAAGAGGCCTAAGGGTTTCAGCGGTTCCGTATCACCTACCTGATGAGGCTGTACCATTCCTGGTCCTGGGTAATGCTATACAGCCATATAGGACATGTTCCAATGTTTTTCATAGATTAAGCAGACTTCTCTATTTTTCCCATTTTTGGTAATTGAAGGGGAAATTTTATAAAGGCCTATTATTTTTCTTAATATTGCTTACTGGAGTGGATTTTTGTTTTACTGGTTGAAGTGTTGAAGAATTTTTTTGATTTTTTTTTTAACCTGATGGATATTCAACCATACAGTCCTTTGTTCATGCGTTTATTCAGTTCTGTTTTGGCATGCTTTGAGGTGTGCTAATTTATGATTCTGGTCCAAAGCAAGAATTGCTCCTGGATTTGCTAGTTTGTCAGCCAGTTCATTGCCCTCCTGTCCTAGCGCCCACATTTTTTACACTCAAGCTAGAGATATGCCACAAATTCCCAGACCAGGTTTCAATTGCAGGTCATGGAGTCTAAAATCTTCACTGCTCGGCTGTCGAGTATTTGTTGTACTCAGAATTTATTTGCATGGATTTCAGCTTGAAAAATTGATTGTGTGGGGGGAGCCTAGAGATTTAGCGCAAAATTTGGGCCTTTGGTTTCTGCCCTTCTCTCTTCATGTTCCACATCACCAACCCCCTATGCCATCCACTGAATGTATCTAACAATGGCAATCCCAGTTCCATTGCTGAAATTGGGCAAGTAAGTATGTTAAGACATGCCAATCATTATAATGTTTTACATTTATTTTGTACCTGCTTTTCCAAGGTTTTTGGCCACCATACTAATGGTGCAAGTTCTAATCATTGTTTATAATTCACTAATTTCGTGGTTCGCTTGACCAATTAATACATTACAATTAATTAAGGTTTTTAGTTGAGATGAAAAAAAACTCATAAGGTGGGGTTGAGATAGGAAGTTGATGTCTGAGTGGATCGAGGTCACGATAGCTCAAGTGGTAGAGCAGCGGCGTATCTAGCCGAAGATCGTGGGTTCGAATCCCGCTCGTGCCATTGACTTTTTTTCATCTCAACTAAAAACCTTAATTAATTTTATTGTTTATAATACTAATAGGCTATTTTTAGATTTATATCCCATACAAACAGCACAAGTCTACTGTTGTTGAACTAAAATGGTATAATTATCTAATTAGCCTTGTACCATTTTTGCTAAAACTATGGACAGAATGGAATTGTGGCGTTACACCAATGCTTTCAATCAAAAGTCCTCAGACAAATTGTCAAAGCTCCTTAGTCACTAACCTTATAATGTTCTAAAAATTTGTTTTGACAACTAATCCTTACCACATTTAAAAGTTGCACTCCAAGCTTTCAATCCACCCTAATACTATTGCTCAACCAAGTACACTACCATTCCTGTAAAACTTGCAAGTTGCTGTAAATGATGATGGCCTCGAGACGTCTTATACCTCAAATAAAGTGCTAGGTTAACAGGTTTTTCACTTGCATCCAACACATTGTCAGCACTGTGACTAGGTTGAAATAACAATCCGAACTCGATGAAGCTCCTTAATCACTAACCTAGCAATGACCTCAACATTTCCATTATCAATGAACCGATACCACTTTGAAAAGTTCCAAATCAAGCTTTCAAAGCATCCTAACCCTACTGTCTATATACTTTCCCACCTTAGAAATCACCTCAATCCTCACCCCTTCTTCTCTCATATTGAGTACCAGCATTGGCTCGATTCTCTTATCCCGTGTCCCCCGGTTAAGCGTTGGCCTTTAAAAAAAATAAATAAATAAATAAAATAAATTTTTTATATCTTTGAAAAAATATTATAATAATAAATGTTTTTTTTTGTTTTGTTTTAATTGTAGCTGAAAGATAACAACCTTCCATTGAAGACATACAATGTGACACCAAATAGACCCGTTCATGCACTGATACTTGATCCTTCAAAGATCCTTACGACGCCTTCCAACCAGCCATCTACATCCCAGCCAAAGCCATCAACTTCTTCAGCACAAGTTACAAGGACATTTGATAAAAATAATGTTAGCAGATTTCAAATTTTATGTTATGATATATGTTTTGTTGATTATTATTTTATGCTTTATTTGTATTTGATGAAGCTGTTATTATTTTATGATGAATATTTAAATATTTGCTTAATTGTTCTCAACGTTTGTGTAATAATTTTCTTGTTTTTCTTTTTTAGGGTGAATCAAGTGTAGATATTTATTATGAGGTAATTAAAAGTTTTAGCTTTTTTTCTGGGGGGGGGGGAGAATCAAGTAAGGATTCAAACCATTTTCTCCACTGTGACCTGTACAGTCTATTATGGAACCCCTATGATGTCTATCTGAAAAGTGCACTTTTCCCACAAAACTAAGCTCTTTTCTCAGTGCCTCTGAAAATGCCCTACCGAAGTGGCGAAAATGAGCTTACTTCTCATATTAACAAAAGAAATGTGCTGATGGTCTCTGGTTTCTCTCGACAGAGTCGGCATGTTTCTGCCTCTGCTCTGACCATCTTTCAACTAGTAATTACGACTGCAGTAGATCATATAAAGGCCTATAAATTTACCCAAATTTTGTCCGCCGAGAGAGAGAGGAGTTCCTCTGTCTTCTTTTTTGAGAAATTTATAAATCTCATACCTTGTACTTCTGTCAGTACTTTTTTTCTCTGAATGTAAATGAGTGCACCTTTCATTTTCTTATTTTATCAACTTCTGTAAAAAGAGTGTAGAAAGTTTTACCTTCCATTGTTAAGAAATGAAATTTATTACAAATTTTAAGGTTGGTGACTATGTCGACTTCTGGGAGTGTTATACAGGAAGCTGGTATCAAGGTACCATAAAAGAAATAAAATGTGTTCCTAGAGAAGCTGCTGAAGCTGATGATGCTTCAGATGAACAGCAGTTTGTCGTTGTTCATCTAAGGTAACTATAAAGTCAATAGATACACTATGTAACATTATTTATTTTTTTCATTTTCAGGAAACAATACATGGAACATTATTTATCGATTGATTTAATAAGACCTGTATCGCACAAGATACTAGAAGCATCGATTTTAAAGCCGTCTGATGTGGTTTTAGTTAATTTCAATCCAGATGGCCAAGGCTTAGGGCACTGGTATGATTTCATCGTGAGAACGCCAAAAACAAATGACACCCAGCTCTCGGGAGACTTAAAAATAAATTCATACAATAGGGATGAGGTGTTATTTTATACTGTGCCTGATGATGCAATTATTTATGCCATCGAGAAAAATAAAATTAAATCTGAATTAACGGCAGACGAAGTGGAATTAAGAAAAAACGGTTGTCCATTAAGTATGTTTTATCTTTCATATAATATTTCTGTCTCATCCTCCCACTCAGTCGCACACCCTATACCAATCACTCACTCACTCACTCTTCCTCTCGCACCCTCTCACTCACACTCCTAACCCTTACCTTAATTTGTTGAATACAATCGTTTGTTTCGTAAAAGAACATTTAAAAAATGGGAAACTTGGGTTGGTGCAAAATTAATGTAGGTTTTGAAAATTTGTTTTATTTTCGCAGACGCTTGTTATGTAAACAAAGCTAACTCCTCAGATTTAATGTATGGGTTATAATAAATATTTTCAACTTTTATATTTTATATACAACATAGCCCATTAAAAAGTGTAATTAAATATCAATAACAAGAAAGTTAAAATAGTAAAATAAATAAAAAGAAAAGACTAAAACTTTTTTATTAATACATGTGATATTAACATTTAATTGATCTATTCAATAATTCATTTCTAGTGTTCACTGTTCTTATTAATTACAATTAATTAAGGTTTTTAGTTGAGATGAAAAAAAATTAATGGCACGAGCGGGATTCGAACCCATGATCTTCGGCTAGATACGCCGCTGCTCTACCACTTGAGCTATCGTGACCTCGATCCACTCGGACATCAACTTCCTATCTCAACTCATAAGGTGGGGTTGAGATAGGAAGTTGATGTCCGAGTGGATCGAGGTCACGATAGCTCAAGTGGTAGAGCAGCGGCGTATCTAGCCGAAGATCGTGGGTTCGAATCCCGCTCGTGCCATTAACTTTTTTTCATCTCAACTAAAAACCTTAATTAATTGTAATGTATTAATTGGTCAAGCCGACCACGAAATTAGTGAATTTAAGTTCTTATTAATATTTTAAAGTAGTTACTTTCTTCAAAAACAAACAATTTATTATAAAATCGGTTTATTTTCTCTATTGTACATGATGCATAATGTCTTTAGGTTGCATTATTGTCTTAATTTCCTTATACATTCACAGGACCGACAAAAGTGGTCTGCAGTGAGTGCAACGACAGTTTAAAGAAAGCATGCTTGCATTGCGGATGTGGGCATTGTGGTTTTAAATACGGTTATGCTGAAATGATCATTTGCGATGAATGTGAAGACTTTTTTCATCTTCGTTGTGTAAAATTAGACGAAGTACCAGATGACCAATGGTAATCTCAATTGAGTTTAATAATTTAACAACAAATAATACAAATGTATGATTTATATATTCGATTCTTTTTTGTTTAATTGAAGGTTCTGTGTAGACTGTGTTAATACTGATTCTCCAAAATGCGAGCCAATCGCACAAAATAATGTGCATTTTGGATCGATTGTTGGTGAAGAAGTTGGAGCTAGTTATGTTGGCAAAGATGAAGTGAGTTATAACATTATTCCAAATAATAAGTAATTTAATACTCTTACTGATTTCTTAATTACATAATGCACTTGAATCACCCGGATCGAAAGAAACATAAAAATGATTTAATGTAAAAAAAAATCAGTCTTCATTCGGACTTCGGCTCTCATTATGTTTTCTCTCACTCTTGTGCATATTCTCCTCTGCATTTTAACCTTTGTAGATCTGGGACACTTCCCTTTCACCCTTCAGCACCCTTCACATGTTATCACATCACAAAAACAACCATACCACATGATGGGCCACCATGTTACTCTTCCAATGGTAGCCCATCATGGTTCTCACAAAATCTATAACCTATAAACACCATACACACCCATACATCCATTTCATTCTCACAGATAAAATACCATTTTTACTACTAATAAAGTTATTACTACAATAAAATGTTATTGTTAATTATGTAAAATGTTATTATTAATGTTGTTTTTCTTTAATAATCAATGATGTCATTTCGAATTACAAAAGAACCTACAATGTTTGTTTAATGAATTTATGAGACACAACTAAGTAAGAGAGACAATATTGAGATGATATGATGTGTTCATGCTCTAAAAGTTTCAATTAGCAATAATCTTTTAGAGGATGAACACTCAGAATTATCTCAATATATACTTACCTGGCGTCGGAGTTACGATGATCACTAAGGCGGTTCCCTGAGAGCAAGGACTTTCCATTCCAGTTCGGCTTGGCTGACCTCCACGAATATCTCAAATGTGAATATATTTTTGGTAATCAATTTATTAGCTTGAATATACTTTTAGGGTGAATTTGTGATGTGAGAGGGTCAATGGTGGAATATTGAGAACCCCATAGACCCTCAATTAGGTTAGTTGTATAATATGTGTAAAGGGTGATGGAAGAATATCAAGTACTCCACTACCCTAATTAAATGAGGGTATGTAAAAAGGAGTGAATATTTAAGAATTAATGTGAGTACAAATAGGTTTGGAACTGCATGCGTTGGGTGCTGAATTGACCTAGCTGTTGACAGCCACTCCCCCCCACCTCATCCTCTAAAATGCCATGATTGACATATTAACAAAAGAAGTAAAAGCAGAGCAGGATGGTCAAAAAAGACCTAAGTTCATCGCTTCACGCTCGATAAAAAATCTCACAACTGTTCAATGTTTACTTTGTGGATTGTTTGGTCCTTTAAAGAATCTTGCCACTAATTAAGCATTCTAAATTGTAAAAACATTATTGTTTACTTTTCGATTTTTAGTTATCAACTTCAGGTGTACATGTTCCACTGAAGTCTTCGTTTCATTTTGCCAGGAAAAAAGGGGTGGCAAGCATTTTACTTGATTCTCATAATATTATAGACAACGGATTGACAGTAATAATTGAAGGGAATAATGCTTGTGTCCACAACAAAAAGAGAAAGAGGCATAATTTCAAAGGGTTGATTGGCATAAACAGGTAAAAATAGACATTTCATTATTTGTCAAACTCCTGAGAAAATTTTTCTTGGAAATTAGGGTAAATTTTTTTCCACAGATTTCTTGTTCAAAATGGCAGTATGCATTGCATAAATGACGAAGGTGGAACTGTCAAAATGTGGAGGGAAGGAATACCTATCAGGCTGGTTAGGTCTCACAAAATAAAAAGCAAATTCTCACCGTCACAAGGATATAGGTACAAATTATATTATTTAGATAAGATTTTAAAAAAATTCAACCTTCGATGTGTGTTTTTATCTCTTTTTCTTTGATAAATATGTTAAAATCTGTCAATGTTTCTCAAAAATTTAACCATTAAATTAGTAAACAAAACTAAATTTAGAATTAATTAAGGTTTTTAGTTGAAATAAAAAAGTCAATGGCACGAGCGGGATTCGAACCCACGATCTTCGGCTTGATACGCCGCTGCTCTACCACTTGAGCTATCGTGACCTCGATCCACTCGGACAACTTCCTATCTCAACCCCACCTTTTGAATTTTCCCTCCTTTTGGCCATTTTTCAAATGTCGTGTAATCGGATTGGATTCTCGGCGACAAATGAAATGCCCACAGAGAGCTTTAGTGAAGTATACTTCATTTTAATTCATTACATTCACTAATTTCGTGGTCCACTTGACCAATTAATATATTACAATTAATTAAGGTTTTTAGTTGAAATAAAAAAGTCAATGGCACGAGCGGGATTCGAACCCACGATCTTCGGCTTGATACGCCGCTGCTCTACCACTTGAGCTATCGTGACCTCGATCCACTCGGACAACTTCCTATCTCAACCCCACCTTTTGAATTTTCCCTCCTTTTGGCCATTTTTCAAATGTCGTGTAATCGGATTGGATTCTCGGCGACAAATGAAATGCCCACAGAGAGCTTTAGTGAAGTATACTTCATTTTAATTCATTACATTCACTAATTTCGTGGTCCACTTGACCAATTAATATATTACAATTAATTAAGGTTTTTAGTTGAGATTAAAAAAAACCTTAATTAATTGTAATATATTAATTGGTCAAGCAGACCACGAAATTAGTGAATGGAATGAAACTAAATTTGAATTATCAAAAGAGTAACCATAATATAGCATCACTTATTTTAATGACACTTTTTGATGATACCAGGTGAAAAATACAATATTAGACACTTGTATGAGCGTTCTTGCAAATTTTATGTTTTTCTACCTTTGTTGTGTACATATTTAAATATTATTACATACCAGTCGGAGTCGTTTTTTTTATACTTCTGATGATAAGAAGTTAATATGGAAGATCTTATATGTGCTTAGATGTATAAAAATTTACAAAAACCAAAAAACATTTTCAGTAAAGTGGGCCAAAAATATTTTTGTATAGAAAATCATTTTGATTCGTTTTAAGCATCCTTCAAAACCCTTAACTATGAATTTTTATCACAAAATCAAAATATCAATTTTTTGGCTGGGTTTGTCAGGGGGTATTTTTCTTCTGGTGTCTTTTGTCCTACTTAAAAATTCATACCTTCTCTTGATTTTATTCAAATAGAACGTTATTACAACTCTTGGAAAGCTTAACATTTTTTTCTTTCTGCCTGTGGCAACAATGTTGTGTAATTATAAGTTAAAAAATTAAGGATGAAATCAACAAGAACACCTCAACCTTTTTAATTTATTTCTTTTGCTCTAATTTATTTATGGGGACAAATTAATGCCATTACGTTTGGTTTAGTGAGTTCTAAATCCATACAAATTTTACAGTATATCTGTGGAATAGTCTCAAGGTTGTCACCATTCTTGTGGTTTTTGAAAACAGTGGATTTAGGTGGTAAGAGGAAGTGGAAAATTAAGTAGAAAAAATATTATTTTTGATTGTCCCAAAATTTTGTATTTAAGGATTTTTCATGGTGGAACAAATGAATATTGACTTTGTTTCTTTCTTAAAAACTATTTTAACCTATTATTATTATTTTTTTTTTTAAAGCCACAAAAATGGTGACAACTGATCAACCAGAAACTTTACAGGAGTTTAAAACCTTGTAAACTACATGTAATGGCGCAACCGGCGCCTACGCATAAACAAGAACCGACGATATAAAATAAGACATTTGATATGATTTTATCCCTGTTTTTCTCACCTATAAAGACAAAATAATCATTCAATCAAATAAAATAATAATCATCAATGGTTGCGCTAATGTTGAATTTATGTAGAAATTAGAGGAGGTATGAATTTTTAAGTGGACCAAGAGACCTCATCATGAAAAAATATTGTCTCCCCCCTGTTTGCAAAATAAGTAAAAAAATAATTTTTTTCTTTTCTATAAAAATTCATATCAGATTCAAAGAGTGCTTAAAACGAATCCTAACAACTTTTTTTTTACTTTTCTGATAGTGATTTTTAATTTTATTTATTTATTTTTTTTGTATGTTTTCATGTATCTAATCTTATTTAGTGGAAAAAGATAATTTTTGATTTTCTCAAATATTTATCGTAAAGGGTTTCTTGGAACTGCAAAAAATGAATACCAATTTTGTTTGTTGTTAAAAAAAATATTTTAACCTTCTTTGCCATGTTGCTTGTTCACAAATTATGTATACCCATGCTATGGATATATAATAACCTAGAAATACATGTACATCAAAGGCCCAAAAAACATTTTTTCAATAATTAATGAAATTATTATTTTTATTGACTCCTGGAGCCCAATGGCAAGAATGCCCAGACATGTTTCTCATATATTGCGACCTAGATTAATTAAAAAACATTTATGGATGGTTAATAAAAAGTTACTTTAGTAAAGAAAAATGTTAAATTAAAATCAATGTACATGTCTTCTAGCCTATCAGTTTAATTTACATAATTTTTGTAATATTCTATTTTCCATAACAATTTTAAGGCAAATTAATTTTGAAGAACAAAAAAAAATAGTCACAATTTTTCAGATATGACGGATTGTATTTTGTCAAAAGTTACTATAAAGAAAAAAATGCTAAAGGATGCCAAGTTTGGAAGTATAAACTCCAACGTAACGATCCTTCTCCACCTCCATGGACTAAAAAGGGCAAGCAACGCATTGAAAGTCTGGGTCTCACTAGGGTGGTAAATAAACATAAATTAACCCGTTCTTATATTAATTTCAGAATGATCTGTTAGGATTTTACTGTTTTTCTAATATATATATTTTTTTATGTGAAGCTTCCTTCAGGGAGTGCTCTTGAGCCGCCTGCCAGCGATCACAGTCCTTATTCCCTTCCAAATCACATTGTGAAATTAATCGAACTTGATACGGTGAACAAAGTTTTCTGGGACAGATTGATAAGCCAAGCAATCACAGATAAAATGGTATGTACAAAATAAGAATTTCAGCTGTTATAAATGCAAATCTTAGGATTTTTATAGTAAAAATGATGGCTCGGGCCAATTTAAAAGAAAACACTGTACTTCATCCAGATTTCAAGGAATATATTCCCTTCAACAAGTTAAAAAGATTAATTTGATGTATAAAAGTTGTTTTTAATACATTGATGGGCAAATTTAACACACCACTCAATTTATTTAGTTCAGAATTAAATACCTTATTTTTCTAGATTAGGTACAGATAATTAGGAGCTATCGTAGTCAAAATAAACTGTAAATAATGCTTTGTTAGCTTCCTTTATTTACTTGTGTATTGATTAATCCCATTTGTACAATAAGAAGCATTACGCCCTTCCATTCTGCTACATCTAAAGATCAATTTCAGTTAATCTTTTTCCTTCGTTGATTTCATTTGATATTATTCTTATTCTTAAACCTTTGTTCAATGGCTCCAGTCAGGGATTTGTATGAGTAGGACAGTGTCAGGGTCATAACATTACTAACATTATTCGGTACTTGAGAAAAAGGGGTTCACACTTAGAAGGCCAGGACAGGGTTGACCTAGGTCTACAGACCAGAGAGGCGATCAATTCATCTGTCATTAGACTCTATGAAAGTGCAGCATTACGGAAATAAGATAAGAAATCTGATAAGTAAAGTCCCAACCCCTTTGAAAAATGAGTTTCTTTGATGGAAGAACACTGGCACACCAGGACAGATTCACATGGGTTTTGCGAGCTCTCAAAAAATGGAGCCAGGAAGGAAGTACAATAAGCTGTATACTACAGATGCTGTGCTCAGGGGAACTCCTCCAGTTCCTCCAGTATGAATAATAAGTCGTATCCATTATTTAAAAAAAAGGATGCTCAGGAGAAAGGTAAGCCCATGCTTTGTGTTTCCTCAAGTGACTCATTCCATGGTGGGTCGTTGATGTTCCGGAGTGGTATTCCCTTGGACACCTTCACTGAATTTGTTGTTGTGTGAAGATTACACTAAAAATATTGGGGCTAACAGCATTTAGGGGTTATTTCTACATTTTTAATTCATAATTTTCTTTTATTTGTACAGAATTTGATGCAAAAGATTAAGGAGCAGTTCACATGTCCTTGCTGTTTGGATCTATTAGACAAACCGGCTTATTTTTCAAGATGTTTGCACACATTCTGTTCAGTAAGTATTCCTATGTGGAAAAAAATGAAATATTCCTTTTGCTGATTCTTTTCTATATTTCAGAATTGTATTAATAAGTCGTTGGAAATAAGCGGCAGCAGTTGTCCGGTATGTAGGGCGAATATTCACGGAAATGCCGACAGTACGAATAAGTTAACAGATAATGAAAATCTTAACAATATTTTGCTTGCTTTGTTTCCTAATTACCATATATAAACTCGTTTGTATTATTTGCATCTACATATATAAATATAAATATCAACAAAAGATTGACATAACTGGCGAATAATTTATCGTTTTTTTGTACAAGAAGATATTCAGTATCTCTTATTGTATTTTGTAAATAGTTCACTTAATGTTTTACAATGTATTCTTTGTACTTACATGTACAAATATAAATATCAACAAAAGATTGACATAACTGGTGAATAATTTACCTTTTTTTTTGTACAAGAAGATATTCAGTATCTCTTATTTTATTTTGTAAATAGTTCACTTAATGTTTTACAATGTATTCTTTGTACCTACATGTACAAATATAAATACCAACAAAAGATTGACATAACTGGTGAATAATTTACCTTTTTTTTGTACAAGAAGATATTCAATATCTCACTTATTTTATTTTGTAAATAGTTTACTTAGTTATATGGCTTTGTAAAATATAATTACTTTTTGCACTGGCTCTATACTGTAGTCTCCATTTCTTCTATTGCAACCTAAAGGTCTATTGTGTAATTGACTTTTCTTTATTTCCAAACCATGAAAACCACTTTTAACACGCAATGCCATCCGTAAAACCAAATATGGACAGCCGTGGCAAGTCTTTTTAAAACCAAAACTTTTTTTATTGAAAAACTACAATACAAAGTTGTTTTATAATGTTTATTTATTTAGTATGCACATAGACATATAAATAAAAAATTTCATTTGTGTGCTAAAAGCTTATTTATATTATATAATTTTACATTTTTAAAAGATTTCATCTGCATGCTTAAATCCATTAGATATCGTGGTCCCATTGACCAAATAACATCTTTCAATTAATTATTATTTATGTAAGGTATTGGTTGAGATAAAAAAGTCAGTGTCACGAGCGGGATTCAAACCCACGATCTTCAGCTAAATACACCGCTGCTCTACCACTTGAGCTATCGTGACTTCGATCCTCTCAGACACTAACTTCCCATTTCAACCCAACCTTTCAACCACCACTGAGCAGCGGCATATTTAGCCGAAGATCATGGGTTCGAATCCCGCTCGTGGCACTGACTTATTTATCTCAACCAATACCCTACATAAAAATTAATTAATTGAAAGATGTTATTTGGTCAATTGAACCACGAAATCTAACGAATTTAATAAGTTGAATGAAGTATATCTTCACTAAAGCCCTCTGTGGCCATTTCATTTCATGCCGAGAATTAAATAGATTACACAACAGGGAAAATTCAAAAGGTGGGTTTAGATGGGGAGTTGGTGTCCGAGTGGATCGAAGTTACGATAGCTCAAGTGGTAGAGCGGCGGCGTGCCGAAGATCGTGGGTTCGAATCCCGCTCGTGACATTGGCTTTTTTATCTCAACCAATACCTTACATGAAGATTAATTAGTTGTATGCTAAAAGTTGATTTATTCTTTTTTTAAACGTATTTGCACTTGTTTTCAATGGAAATGACCCTGCTGAATCTATTGGCAAAATAATTATGTTTGAAAACGTCATGGTCTACAAGATAAATGCAAAAAATTGAAATTATATTGGTTAAGTTTTCTTATGGAACGAACTCTGCTGAATAGCCGTTTTTCTATGGTACTCTGCTGAAATTAACCTCGAAAACGTCTTGTTTACTCCCTTTACGGGATGAGCGCTAAAAACCGAAAAAATCGGCAATTTGTTAGAACGGTTTTCAATGTAAAAGACACCAATGAGTCGATTGCCGCAAGCATTATCTTCTAAAGCTCATAGTTATACATTTTTGCGATCCTTATGGAAACGACCGTGACAAGAAATTTATTTTTCAGGTTTTCAAGGCCATGCTGATTTGATAGGCAATTTTATCCGATGTTTTCCAATGGAAGGGACCCAATTGAATCGATTGGCACAAGAATTAGGCTCGGAAACCATAATTTTACGGGATGAACGCAAAAAAACATAAAAATCGGATTTTGTTGCGGTTTTCAATGTAATAGGCCCAGCTGATTCGACGTTTTCCAATGGAAACGACCTTGCTGAATCACAAGGTTGGCATAAGAAATAAGCTCATAAACAGAATATATTACGAGATTACGACATAAATGCAAAAACCGTACAATCCAAAAAATATTTTTGAACTGTTTTTAATGTAAAAGTCCCTGCGAGTCGATTGCTTCAAGAATTCAGCTCGAAAACGTCACAGTTTACGGGTTGAACGCAAAATCTGAAAGCTTTTTTCCCGACATTTTCCAGTGGAAAACCTACTGAATTGATTGGCGCAAGATTTAATCTCGAAAACCTCATATTGGATTGGTGCAAAATTAATGCGGAATATGGCTTATAACATAATTTTAGATAATTTTAACTGTTATCTTTTATTCAAAACGTTTTAGTTTATACTGAATTTTAGAGTAAGGACCTGCGAAATTAAATATGACGAAACTAGATTTTCGGCAAATTTACTTGTAAGAATTTAAACTTGTGCACTACTATTATAAACTCTTTGTTTCATTAAGATTTATTACTAATTATTTAAGTCGGTAGTCGTTCCAGCTGAAACTAAGATCGTCTTGGTCAATAAGTATCATCTCTTTTTGTTATCCATCATCTCGACATTTGACATTTATAATTACCATATGTACAATCGCTAAATTTACTAATTTGAGGAATTTTTTCGAATAATTCACCTAGATTCGCGTCTCGCCCTGACCACGTGGGTCGAGAGGTTAGGGCCACGTGGTGTCCATCCGAACCGGAGCTGACTTTATTGTTTTCTTTATTGTTTCTGTTGGCTGTCTTCTGATTTGCCTTTTTGTCTATTATTGACATTGACAGCTCTGTACTGAGGAATATTGAGCGATTTTTAAGATCAACTACATACTTTTCATCTAAAAAAAAAAAAAGAAAAAAAAAAGTTTTTTCTGTTTTATTTCGTATCCCTTATGGAGTCACACACTATGCACTTTGACCATGAACCTCCCGATATCAGACCCAACACATCTCCAAAACAAAAGATAAAATGGGTAGGCCCAAAGTATGTTATGATGAGTTTAGATGAAAATCATCCATCCAAAAAGACGTTTAATAACTTCAGCCCTTTTAAAATTTGCAAATTTATAAAAGTTTTTGCCCCCAGGTAAATGTAAAATTTTTGAAAAATGGTACGATTTTATTGAATATCTCTTGTGAAAAGGATTTTCTAAATCTGAATGGGATGAAAACCCTTGAAGACATTCCAATTAAATTCAATCTTCATAAAACGCTCAATTACACGAAAGGAGTCTTAACTGCCCCTGAGTTACTGAACTGTGATGAAGATGAAATTGAGACAGAACTAACCAAACAACACGTTATAAAAGTACAACGTATATTTAGGAAACAAAATAATATTAAGGTCCCAACTCCTACGCTAATATTGACTTTTGAAAGACCAGAACTTCCGGACAAAGTGGCTTTCGACTTTCTTTCTGTGCAAGTTAGGCCTCTTGAACCTAGACCACTAATGTGTTTTTCATGCTTCAGATTCAGACATGTTAGTAAATTTTGTCAAACTAAAAATTGTGGGAACTGCGGAGAAGCTGACCATGATGCAAAAGATTGCTCAAATACTTCTAAATGCATGAACTGTGGTAGCTGCCACCCAGCCTACGATAGGTCATGCCCTGTCTATATCAGAGAGAAAAACATTGAAAAAATTCGTATCACTGAAAAAACATCTTACAAAAATGCCGAATTACTTCTTTGAAGGCAGACCCATAAAACTCCGGGCACACGTTCTTACTCACAAGTCGTTAATATGCCAATTGCCAAAATCCCGTCTGAATCTAATTCTGAGGTTCTTTCTTCCACTGATCAGTCCACAAACAATATTTCTTCCTCTCCCTCTCGACATGAACTTCAGACTTCTCAACCGCTAAATGATTTGAGTTCAAACTCTTTAGTGAAACAAGTTGAGAAACTAAGCAACATTGTCATTGATCTAGCTAGCAAAATGAATAAATTTGAACAAGCTTTAAAGCAAATAGAATCCTTGTCCACCACCAGAGTAGAGAACACTAATGACCGACCAAAAAGTGATAACAAACTGCCACTTCTTACTCTTAACAAGCCATTAATACCAATAACAATGGATCAAGTTAAAAACGTTAACCCTACAAATGTTTACGTAACCCTAAAGAAGCCAATTCCTCAAAACTCTTCATCAAGTGAAAATAGTGACAACAGCAGTATGCAAAAATCAGTAATTCCGGAAAACAACTCATCACCTACCCACCATAAAGTTAAACTTAAAAAAAAAACTGAAAAATACAGCAAGAGCCCGACAACAAGTTGTTCAACAACAATTAGGTACTCAAACAAATAGGTAAATTTGAAATATAGGCAATATACATTCTAAAAGGATTAATAAATGCGAATACTGCAATGGAATGTTAATGGATCTATACATAGAAAAAATGATATTGAATATTTGTTAAAAAAATTAAATTTATCTATATTATGCCTACAAGAAACAAACCTTAAACCCAATCAAAAATTCTATTTTAGACAATATGATATACTCAAAAAAGACCATACAGGCGGGCTAATTGCATGTGGTGGTGTGAGTATTCTGATTAAAAATGAAATTCCACATTTTGAAATAGACACAGGTTCTGATTTACAAATTATAGCTGCTAGAATATTAACCCCATTCCAATGTACTGTGTGCTCCCTATACATTTCTCCTGACCAAAAAATTGAAACAAATGAACTAATTGATATATATAATCGCCTCCCTAAACCGGTCCTAATATTAGGTGACCTAAATGGACATAATCCACTATGGGGTGGAAGTAACTTGAATGAACATGGTAGAGTTATTGAAGGTTTTATGAACCTATGCAACCTAAATAATTTTAATAACTCTATCCCTACTCATCTTAGTATAAGATCTGGGAAACTCTCTAATATTGACTTGAGTCTCGTATCACCAACTCTTCACTCCCGTTTGACCTGGTACAGAATAGATGACACTCATGGAAGCGACCACTTTCCAATAATCATTGAAAGTAATAACACTGTTTTGGCAAATCAGCGACCACGTAAGTGGAACATAGACAAAGCAAACTGGCCCCTTTTCCAAAACATAGTAGATCTGTCCAATTTAAAACTAAATGACACAGACATTGATGATTTGACTGTAGAATTAAATTCATGCATAGTTAAAGCAGCTGAAACTGCCATTCCTCAATCCAGCAATTTTCCTTATAATAAGAAAACCAACCCTGTACCATGGTGGACAGGAGAGTGCGAAAGTGCGTTTAGGGAAAGGAAGAAATGTTTGAGGAAATTTCTCAGGCGACCATCTACCGAACTATTGAATTCCCTAAACCACACGAAAAATAGATTCATGTATATTACTAAGAAGAGTAAAACGCAGTCATGGAAAAACTTTCTTGATAATGTTAGTAGCCACACTCTCAGCAAAATGTTTTGGAATACAGTTAAAAGA